TCCTCTCTAGTAGTATCCCAAGTCGAAGAAGGTTTGGGAGTCCTGGTGCCCTACGATTTAAAGTCTTACGCTAACTGTGACAAAAATACCTTCCGAGCAAATATTGCACTGGTAACATTGAAGCGCATTTTTGGCCAGTTTTCCATATAATCCTTAACAATTTTATCCATCCCTATTTAGAGGACGGAAACGTAGTATTTCCTCTCTCATTCCAAAAGGATAAGGACACTCTGGAGCGTATCCAACAGCGAGCAACGAAATCAGTTCGAGGACTCAAATTTAAACCTTATGAAGAGCGCCTCCAATCACTTAACCTTTACCCATTAGAGTATAGGCGTCTTAGATGTGACCTTCTGATGACTTACAGCATCCTTAACACTTCTGGACATCCTAATAAACACTTACTTAAGCTTAGTTCCAACACTAACCTAAGGGGTAACACCCAGAAATTGGAGATACAACATAGCAGAACGGACTGTAGATACAACTTCTACTCCTTAAGAGTTGTCAAATGCTGGAAGTTGCCCACGGCCGAGCTAGTCCAAGCGACTTCCCAGGAGTCCTTTAAGAGGCAACTTGATTTATTCTTAATGATTAAGGATAGTATTATACTATGATTTACCAATTTCTTTTTCCTCTTTTGTTGTTAACATATCTATGTTCCTGCCTGGAGGTTTTGGTGATCCCTTGCTACTAGACACGGAAGCCTGTTAAGCGAAAGCTTCTTCTATTCCGTCCACAACCATTTGACCATTTGACCATTTGAGGGTTTTTTGTGTTGTAGGTCAGTAACGTGTTCGAAGTCATGCGCTACCACCTCTTGATTTTTCCTCTTTCAGATTGTCCTAATCTCCAGTATGGGTTATTCCTAGTCATAAATCATTGCTTTTATTCTATAATGTTAGTTCACATCATATGCTTGGTATGTCTTCTGTTCATGTTTTATCTTTTTCTATTCTTCTCCACTTGTAATTATTCTGCTCCGCACTCCTAAAACGAGTGGATTAACTAGTTAATGGGATACTACTGTTCTTGAATGTATATGTATAGACATATCTAGCATGTGAAGCAGTAATAAACTATCAAGTATAGTAGGACCGAATGAACTTCCTTGTGTTTGCATTGTCTGAGAATCACCAGTAATTGGTTTTTAGTGAAATAAATCTAGGGTTGCACACGACTGGCTTAATCTGATTTCGAGCTTTCCAGTATCAAGAAGTCACTGAGCCTGAAATATTTATAGGTAACATAGTCATAGAATGTGATTTACACATACATAGAGTCAGGTGTTGGAAGCGGATGCTGATAGGTCTTGAATTGTGGTGCGAAACTAATTTATTTGGCTAAATAGAATCTTGACATTATAGCTGATGTCAGTTCCTAACCCTGAATTCCAACTGTGAGTATTAGTCATACTTCGAGTTATCCGGATACCACTACCTAGGAAGTGCTATGTATAGATGTAAGAAAGGGGTTGACGTCCTTTTATACATAGTCAATACTATAAATATACGCTCATCTACTTGCGAATCCTATGGTAGTGAAACTTGTGAAGTTATTAGCTGTGAACTCGCTATCGGATGATGTATATTTATACTTGGTGTCATATGGTAGCCAAATCTGCTTATTTGATGACTATTTTAGAGCACATTCGGCTATGGAGTACGAGTAACATGCTTGATATTCGGAGGCTTTGATGCACCTGATATTAGTTGGACTGAGATGATCACGGTAGGATTTATAAACTTTGATAGGTTCCTGATAACGGTAATGGAGCATGCATTATTACAGCATGTATCCGAACCCACACGTTTTGGTTCAAACCAAGGTTATTATTTGTTATACTTGGTAATTACTCATCCAACTGAGGATATTGCCAAATATTTTCCCACCGTTAGTGAATATCGATCACGCTGTTTTGTCATTAATGCTTATAACTTGTGACATGATACACGACCCGGTCAAGCCTCTCCTAAATGTATGGAGAGCTAACATATCAGCCATTCAGGAGTAGTGCACTGTTAAAACAGCTTGGTCAATAGATACTAGCTCATCAGTTGAAACATCGTCTGTATTTAAAGGTTAGTTCAGTTCAGGTACGTCCTCGTTTATACCATACCTAGTACCACATAGACTGAATAACTGTCCACCATTGATAACTAAACAAATCAAGAAGCTTCTTAGACGTAGGGAAAAGCAAAGCATTAGATAGGCTATAAAACAGGACATTAAGGTGATTCACAATAAAGACATTCGAATTAATCAGACAACTGAGTGTCAGTTGGACTAGTATGACTGAGCTAATGCATTTAACATTGTTGCTTAGTCAGATACTGTGTTCCAAAAATAAGTATCCCATTATATGGATTTGACATGTCTATGTTGAACACCATATATTTTACTACAGGGTGTTATTCCTGTTGTCTCTTTCTGTTTAATGCAGTTGATGCTCGAAACCGTTGATAGACATACCGAAAGTTCTGTTTTGCTTTACATAGAAAGGGTTCATAAAGTGATACAGTGTTTTGAGTCGTTGGGTTTGCTGGGCAATTACTGTAGCATTATGGCACTGACGTTTACAAACATTGTATTTTATCGGGATAATTTGGAAACTTCTTGCTATAATGTAAAGTTAAAGGTTTTAATGAATTATATCGTTGTTTGAGTATTAAGCTATCCGTTCCTATTTTGATTTCGCTAAACGTACCCCATTATTTGTAAATAAATCTTGATAACTAGTACTCTGCTGGGTGAACAGTGTATTCATACCATCTCAGAATATATCAAGGTACTAGTCAGATTTACAATGTTGTGGCTACTTCCCGTCTGGTCTCATTTCATGATCGTTTTTTCGTAGTAGAAAAATGCATTGTGACCACAAACAAATCATCATGACCAAGATTTTCTTTAGGTTTCTGGCCTTAGTAGTAATCCAACTCCTAGAAGTAGCTCAGAAGCATTGAACTCGGAGAAACCAGTTAATCTTAAATTCTGGTTATAGATGAATATGGTGCCTACATAATAATTTTTTTCAGACTCTACAGTATAAGGAAATTTGCGGACGGGAGACTGCATACTTAATCGTTATTCAAAAGGTCATGATTTGTTTCAAGCATACTCTAGACTGTGATCTGAATAGGTTACATCAAGTACTATTTGTCAAAGCTATGCACCTTTCATAATTTCATTCTATTATCTTTGCTTTTTTAAAATGTAGCTTTTTGTTTAGAATCAGCGGTGGAAGTAGCTGAGTGTGTTGATCACTTCATCCATTATTGAAATCTCTTAAGGTCTGATTGGCTGGTGGTTGTCGAACGGTTATTGTGGATACGTAATCACCTTTTTGTGTGTATCACGGCTCATGCAAGAAATCTGGTCGTGCACAAAAAGAGTACTTTGTTGAGCAACATTTTTCCACATTGTTGGCACTTTTTGTCGCTCTATAATATCAGTGTCGCTTTGGTCCAAGCTATGCTTTTGGTATGAGGGATGGTAATGCTTGTCGGAAATTTATTTGTTTTAACAAATAGATATTGGTACAAGGAGGCACCAAATACATATGCGCCACACAAGTCACTTCATTGGTGTGAGGGCTGTGATACTGCCCGGGTGTCCAAACTGAAGCAGGTGGTTTTCTTAGGGGGCCACACCCGGAGCCTTCGACCTGAAAGTCTGATCTACAAGGCAGTGAAGCATCGTAAGGAGATGCAGTCCCATCGTAGCCGGTGACCCACGATTGGTTCCTATGCCATTTGTTCCCTCAGGATTCTGGAGCACATGTGCACCATTGGTTTGGAATCGGGTTTTTCTAACTCCCCTAGGTGGACTCTCCATGTCCACCAACCCGGTTAAAGCGCCGGACGTTCGCTTTTCGTCCTCTCAATTTCGTAAACAACAGTAATGCCATGAGAAGGCAGTGAGTAGGACTTCCCTGGCAGAGGCTATATACGTGTGGCCATGTGAGAGCATTTCGAGAGGGAGAGCGGACTCTCCTCACTCTCGGCCGTACCAGGGCATTTGGGGGCTTCTTGGAAATATGAACTGAAGTAAATTGGGAGGGATTCGAACGTGCGATCTATTGTTTACAATCCCAAGTAGCTTAAAAACCAAATCACTTCTTGTTAATCCATTCATCTTTTGTGCTGGAATATGGACCTTTGCACAGTAGTTATACTAGGTCATACATTGCATATGATTGTTTGTCTGTAGTAATATGAAGCGAACAAATCATACTGACCCAAGTTGAGTAGGGCAGCTTTTACTGTTATATATACGTAGAGTCAAAAGAGATGATGTCCTGATATATTGAGGTTTTCTGGCAATCACACAAATATCTAAATTCAATCAGTGGGAAGCTGGGGGGTTGTGACTTATGGTTAATGGATCTTGACCACTTAAAATACCTTAATTTGATCCCCATACAATTCATATTTTTTTCCAACAGGTTGGTGGAGTTAGATGAAACTATTAAAAATTTGCGTATATTTCGATTTGATTCCTTAAGTATTAGAATAGATCTGTCACTAGGCAGTCTTCAAGCTAATCTTTTGATCTTTCTATTATGTATTAGCTAACCTAGTCCAATTAAGAAGACAGAACGCTGTTTCTTACCCTCAAATAAATGTCTTTAAAAGCTTGACACAAATTTTAACTTGGTTATTTAGTCCTCAGAAATCTGAGGATCCTGAGGTTTACTAATAAGGGTGATATGTAATAACTCCCTCGACGACTTAAATCATAGCCACTTTAATATCAAGGTGACTGCGTTTTAAATAGCTCTAAGAAATGAGATATAGTCCTTGGGATTTCGGGAGGGTGCATGTTCATCATATTATATATGGGATCTGTGCTTTTATTCCAATGAACTAAATAATTTCCTGTTTCATCATTGCTTTAGTAAAAACTTTTTATCTTCGATTTCAGCCCACGTTTACTAAACTTCAAAAGATGGTCATGCAATCACAATTGATCTAAATATCATTTTTCAGCACGAAACATCAATGGCAATAAATGAAGAAAATTTCAGTCGGTTACTCACTCAGCAAATTTCTGATATTGAAGCTACTGAACAGGAAATTATTATCCTGGAAAAATATAGATCAGATTATGAGTCTGTTAGTAATAAAATTCAGGAGTTGCAAAAGTCTGTATATAAAGATGCGTATATTCCATTCAGTCGCAAAGCGCTTGTCCGTGGGCGTTTAATTCATACAAATGAACTATTAGTGTATCTTGGTGGGACTGATGACTATTTTGCTGAATTATCTGTCTACGAAACAGTTCAGTTGCTCAGTCGTCGTATTAAACGGTTAGAGATAAAATTAGATGGATTACGTCAACAAAAAACACTGTTAAACGATAGAATCAATTACACAAAACAATTGGTCTCACAAAAACTAGTTTCTATACCGAAAGATTCCTCCAGTTGTACTCGTGATCAAGTTGTAGAAGGTATTGAGGATGATAAAGAAATTGAAATTAGAGAAGAGTATGATTCTGATGCTGAGATTGAATGGAGGAAAAAACATATAAATAGTCGAAAACAGGAACGTATTTCCCATGCATCAAGATATTCCCCAGTACTTACTACTCGTCGAGTGTCGTTTGATTTAGCTGAGCAAGTGCTTGGAGAACAGTATACTGATTATGAAAGTATTTCTAATTCCGAATCTGATTTTGATGGCGAAAACTTGTCGACTATACACTTTCAACATTCAGACACACCTTCACCTATTCCAAGAGAAACAGTAGTCGATGTTTCCACTCTTACTGTTGCAGAAGCTGTCAATTTCGCCCTCAAGATTTGCGACACACACGGTAAAAATAAAGTGTTCTCTGTAGAACCACTCGGTGATATTAGGGAACAGCAACCAAATGTCTTAGCAAAAGCTGTCAATTTTACCTCCGAAATGTCCAGTACAAATCATCAGAACAAAATGCTTCCAACAAAACCATTTGGTGATATAAATGAACGGCAACCAAATGTCTCAGATAAACCAGATATTCCTCCACCCATCATACCAAATGAAAGAAAACGATGTTCACTGTTCCGTTCTTCTCGTATCAGAGATTCCAAACCTGCATAAATTTGTCTGGCGTTGTGCTTTTGTAATCATTCACGAGATTTCCTTTTTTATATTTTTCGATTATCTAGGATCATGATTTTATTCACACTTTGTATATATACTCATCAGATTCTTTGTTAATAGTGTTTGTTGTATGAAATGCAAACACATTGTTTTTGTGCACATTTTATCCTTATTTTGTCGAAAAAGATGGCTTGGTGATTAATAGCATTCAACTTTCAATCAGATCACAGATTCTGTTCCAGCATTGTATACTTTGCTTGGGACTCTGGGTGGCATCAATATGTCTCATACCTAAAGTTTGGCTCAAAGTTCAGAATGGAAACCTGTACTTGATGAATGAGTTTTCTGAAAATAGGATCTGCTAACGAATAGTTTATCTATGACTTAAATGTTACATTTATGGAATAATGATTACTGGTAGCACGTACAAACAACTTAGATGTGGGCAGATTTGAATGGTGGCTTGCAGTGGAATTCAAGATATGCGTTTCGTTTTATTTCAGACCTGCAAGCTGAGTGCACATGCATTCCAGAGTTTCTCCCCTTCTAGAACTCGAACCCAGTGCTGTTTGCTTCGAACTCCACCACGTTATTCATTTAGCTACTGAATCTAGACATTTAACTAGCCTGTGCAATTAGGTGAGGTTGGGTTTATTCGAACTGGTTATTTTGAGTCTTTCTGCTGATGTTTAGGACTGGAGCAGACCAGTCTCTTTTAGCATGTATGCATCTTGTGTGTACTGCCTCCACATTGTCTTTAGTTTACAAAAATTATAAACAGAGTTAGATCCAGATCTGCCTACTGTTACTAAATATCGTCCCAAAAAGCGATCCTACTGTAGACTGGTTTCAAAGGACTACAACGTTGACCTAATATTTGTAAGAGACATTCATTCATGTAGTGAATCAAAAGTGAATTTATCGTGTATTTATGAAGCAAGTATGCATAGCACGGATATCATGGTACTTTTTCTGTGATAAATCTAGTTAACAGTATCGGAAACGTATACCGTGGTTTTTACCGTTGCAAGCGCGAACTGATGGACTTCTGTTGAAAATCTGGGAGCACTGTACAGCGTTCTCGTTCTAGTGTGGGGATCCTCATCACTGCGCACGCGGGAATTGAGCCGAGGACATTCGGTCTCGCGTGCGAACGCCTAACCTCCAGACTACTAAGTCGGCAACTGCCGCAGATAATAAATCAGGAGTTGGGCACGATCATGGATTGATTGAATTTAAACATCAACACCGTTATGTGCCGGCCCAATGGTCTAGAGGCTAAGGGTTCACGCGCAAGACCAAGGGTCCCATGTTCGATTTCCGCGTGGGGGTTCATCGGTGCGTATAACTGACGAGTCCCATGCTAAGAAGATCCTACCATCCAGTGCTCTCGGGCTCTCAGTGTTAGTCTAACTGTGATCTTTTCGTGATTTGAACTATAAGTATACTACAATTTCCGAAAATTCCCTTCACTTATCTGCTATAATTGTTGCAATCGACTGTAAGCTTTATTTTGTTTGTACACAGTACGTGGACGATATGTAAGTATCTTTGTGTCATCGACTAACTGTAACATCAACGGTTAAAGAGACGATTAGTGTTTTTTGGTCAGTCCGAGTTTATCTGATATTTGAATGTGCGGTTGCTTCTGGGCGGACGTGTACGCTTTGACAGGTCAAATATCGAACTGAGTTCTTCCTTGGTCTCGAGTGTTTTACCGAATGCTCACAAATCGATCATTTACTGAAGAACAGCACACTTGAAGGTAGCTGGTTTTTTTCAAGAGACACTGGTTAATGTGTGGTATGCCAGTACTATTTCGACCTATTTCACTATGAAGAACGATAAGCACAGGAGCCACTATGATCTGCGATTTGTGCCCCGAAGATTTAGTATGGATGCTTTAGAAGTTATTGCCAGTTTAAAGTTGTTTAAGGATATCCTTCTCCTTGCGATACTGTCGTGTTTCCTACTTTCGCGCAGTGGTTAACCCTGTCCCAGGCATTGTTATTATGGGAATCGAATAGTCGATTGGTTGTTTGGATAAAAAGTGCTTCCATCACGACATGAACTAACAGGTATAACGCAAATAGTTGAAGTAAAAGAGGTAAGAATGTTTGCCTTCGACTATCGGTTGCCTTGGTGAGTAATTTAATTACAGTGATCGACACTTTGGTCGACAGTTAACATCTGTCATTCAGAGGAAACCATTTTTAAATATGGTAAGAAGCATATATTCTCAGTTTGAACATGGCAATTTAAGTTTTTATTGAGATCGAAAAATGCCATCTCTGATCTGCTGTTTACCTGTGTGCTAACACTTTGGTTGGCTTACAGGAGGGGAAATCAATGATAAATGCGATTATTGTCTGTGAATATTGGCTGATTTTGATATTATGCGCAATAGAGATATACACATAAATAAATGAGGTCAATGAATCATTTAACATAAAATACATATCACAATTTACATGATAAAGTATTTCAATAAGCTGTCTCTAAAACATATTTGTTTAATGGACAAAAATATGTGTAGCTGTAGAATGTTGATCTTCATTACGTCCTAGTACAAATATGTGCTTTTTTAACCATGCAACTAGACGACTAGTTAGTAAATCAGCACCCATTGCACCAGCTTCCAAACCAACCCCATCAGCTGTTCCGTCATTAGCATATGGTGCACTCGGTGCTAATGCATGTCCAATGCACTGTGCACTGCCGGTTAAATTAACGCCTTCAGTTAAACATTCTTTAAGAGATTTTGGAATTAAATTACAACCCATTAATGAATTAGCCTGGCAAGCTAATAAAGAGCCTTCAGTCCATCCTGGCAATGATGAACTAGTCGAATGAATTAAAGGTTTTTCATAATGTAATGATGGGATTGTATTGGCAGTTCCAGTGATTGCTGTATGTGGTAAATTTTCACAATGACCTGCTGTTGGACCTGATGACAAACGACTATTAGTTAGTGGATCAGGTAAAGATAGCAAGAGTAACAATCGGTTATATGGTTCAGGTGGTTCCCACTCGACACATTTTTGTAAGCGTTTAAGCATATTGCCTGGAAGCTAAAAAGATAAAATAAATGCTTATGATAACGATTCATAACATAGCATGATATTTTATAAATTATTTCGAAGTTATAAAACAAACATAATTCAGACGTATCCATATGATGGACAACGTTATTCCTAAAACGATAAAAGCTTAGAAAGTGAACCAATTAGATCAGAAAACTCATCACCAGTAAATACACTCATTTGTACTCATTTTTGTGATTTATATTCACCTGAAAGTCTTGGGGTTAATCCTAGGTGAAGGTCATGAGTGTATGTTATTAAGATCCTCAAGAGTAATACAGAACAGGAATGTAGTCCTACAATATTTTTACTAGTTTTCTAGCTGATATGAGTTTGTAATAGGGATTTCCACTGATCACATGATAAATTCAATATTAGTAAATGTTTTTGCAGTACAAAATGAATAAAAACTATCTTTTGGTGTTCACTCAACTACAAGTGTGCAGTCAAAACAGAAAAACTAAATTCCTATTTTTTTCATAGTAACATAAGATGGGACATGAATAAAATATCAAATATCATATCATATAGCTGTGGTTGGTTTATTAATCTATATTCTTAACAGAACACCGAAACACAAAATGTATACTTATGGTGGTTCTAATATTTTTTTTAATAGATTGATCAATTTTTTCATAGAAAAGATATATATATATATATATCAGTCATCCATAAACAACTTAAGACCTGAATATATCAGCATAGTCAAGTTAAATTATCAAGATTAGTACTTAAGTAGTAGTATGAGTGGTAGTAAATAATTTATGCATACTTTGAGCCAAAGTATCTCTTTTTTGAGAACTAATGATACTATCTGGTTGTCGAAACTGAAGTGTTTTAACCATTAACCAATCGGTCAACAGATATTATTTAAATTGTGTTCATTTAAAGTTGAGTTTATAAATCTATTGCATTATAAATGCAGTCAATATCCAGTTGTGTTATAAACACTATTAGATACTTTTATTTTAAATACTTGTGTTTCTTATATTTTCTTAATAAAAAAAGAATTGTAATTATGGATGATATTATTTAGGCTGTCATTAAACACCCTTCTACTACGGGGGGAGAAGATTTTTAGCTCAAGTGGGAGATTTTTATGTAGTTTTATTCTCTGAGCTGGATAGTTTGACTATGGAGATCTCGTCGTTCTTCTGAACGACATCATCAGCACAAACTTCAGGTAGAAGTAAAGCGTTTGAATTTCTCCACATGTAGAGAACTGTATATTCCTTGATAAATTTCGAATAATAAAACCATTTTTTCTTTCAAATGTTAGCAAAAATTTATATTAACAGTTTCTAGGTAAAGTTACCTTTATTTTGAAAAAAACCCAACAAAACAACAACAACACGCTAAAAGTATCTGTTAGAAATTTCATTATAACAACTATCCTTTATAGTTTCAAGAAAAACTTATCAATTTAGGATATTTTTGTTATACGAACTGAGAAATCTACTATTAAATTCATCAGTAATATGTTTGTAATTATAAAAGATTTTCCCATTGGTTTCTTTATATTTGAAACATTAAAATATTTAAACGCTATAAAATGATAGATTAAGCACTTCATTATATAACTGAATGTAGCTGTCAAAATAAGTAGGTAGTAAAAATTACTACTGAGTAGGATTTCTAGATCACCATTGAAAAGACAATATCATTAAAAAAGAATAATAATAGTATCA